GAGCACACAGCAGATGTTTGGATGTGGCAGAAGTTCAACCTGCAACTACAGAGCTATTAGAAACTGATGTTTAAAATCCAGCCTATCAAATTACATTTTTAGCCTCTAAAATGAGGAAAAAATATTGCTACCACCTTGGGAAGCTGAGGCAGGAGGACTGCTCGAGGCCAGGAATTCAAGACCAGCCTGAGCAAAGTAGTGAGACCCTGTCTCTATAAAAAAATAAGAAAAATTAGCAGGCCTGGTGGCACACGCCTGTAGTCCCAGCTACTCAGGAGGCTGAGGCAGGAGCATCACTTGAGCTCAAGGAGTTTAAAGCTATAGTGAACTATGATCACACCATACCACTGCATCAGCCTGGTTGACAGAGCAAGAGCAAGACCCTGTCTTGGGATGCGGGGGAAATACTACCATAATGTGTGTATTTCTACTGCTAGATGTTTGAGAACCAGGAAAATTTCATTAGGCTTTCATTAAGCTGCAGATAACCGTTTATCATCCCACACCCTACTCTGTCAACTACAAAAAGATTTTTAGAACTTGCTATGTGAGGGCCAGGCATGTAAGTCAGTAGGAAGTAGGTACTAGGTAATGTACCTAGAGAATATGGTGGTGAAGAAAAACCTAGCCCCCTTTGTGCTTGAAGAGTTTACAATTTTACAGGAAAAATGGACAACTATGGTATAGATTAGTGTTTTTCAAAGTGTATTTCTTGACCCCCATTTGTAAGTAGCAAAAGCAACTGAAAGGAATAGAATGGAGTAGAAAATTTCAGGTTATCTTCTGATAATAAGAGTAAGTATTATTTTGTAAAACTTGAGTTGGTTAAATATACACATACACATATTCACTATATCTGATGTGTGTACTAAGTTACAATGTGGGCTGTGGTAAAAAGTTTAAATATTAACATAAATAACTAATAAAATGTAGTAATTATTCTTGTAGTTAATAACTTAGCACCAGAAAATAAATGTGTAACTTGAGTAAGGAAAAGAGAAGTTTTCGCATTGAATTTCCTCCTAGAAGTTAAAAGTGCTTCTTTTCACTTGCCAACTTTTTGAAAGATTGGGCATCAGCATAAAGGTATGCTGTCTCAGAGCATAGTTGTGGAATCTCTCCATCGTGTTGTCCAGGCTGTCAGCTCTAAAGGGAGTACTTTGTGAAATAGCTTTAAAAGCAAGACATTGAAACAGTACACGTAGATTAGTGTGAGAGGAACAATCAGAGTAATGCCCAACCAATTGAGCAAAGTTTTTGGGCTACAGTGCTCTCCACTAAGGTACTGCATAAAATCTTATATGGAAACCTGAATGAATTAATCTTTATGAGAAAAATATGCTAAAATCCCTAGTATTTTTATTTCCTACTGAATGAAAGAAGATGTTGTACTGTGACTATGGTTTACATTTGTCCTGTGGGTAACTTTTCTACTTTTGCTTTTCTTTGAGATTATTCCAGAGCTCTATGGCGCTCCTTCAGAGCCTTATGTTTTTTACAAATCAATGATTGTCCTCTTTCTAACTCAAAAATGTTGATTTAGAAGGGTAACTGTGACTCTCATTATAGTTTCCATCATCCCAAAGAATGGTTCTACTTATACTACATTTGGCTGTGCTTTGTCTTGCTTTTATGTAATAATTTTCTTTTATACCGTGGCTCTACGAAGCGACAAGTATCCCAGGCTTTATTTCAAATAGAAAATCTCCCCAGGGTTACCGAGGTCCTAAAAAATGGAAGAATAGTGGGAGATAAAATTGTGAGACTTCATTATTAGGTACTTTACCATAGAAAGGCTCTCATCAGATGCTCCTGAGTTAGTGATACGTAGCAGTATATTCACCAAAACAAAATTCTATCAGTGGGAATTCCAATGGAGTTTTCCCTAATAAAATTTTACTAATTCTTGAAATATTGTATAAACCAGTAAATCACATTTTCTTGCTTTTTAAAGACAGAGTACAAGGAAAAATAAAAATTCCAACAGAATAGAAGAATTAGAGTCATGCTTTGCAAAAAAAGAATTATCAAATTAATTACAATGACAGAGTCTGCTTCTGGCTCCAAAGTTCTTTTAAAAACTATTTTATATTAAGCATTTATGTAAATTTTACTTTCCAGCCCATTTTGTGAAAGAGGCTGTAGTCAGTACAAAAATTCAAAATTAATTGTATCTTCACCTAAATATTCATGTAAATATTCATATTTCAGTAAGATTAGCTCTGTTTGTCATAGAGCTTCCCCTGCATTCCATCATTTTCTTTCTGAGTTATCGGCAAGGGTATTGGAAGTCTGCATTGGGAAGCCCAGGTTAAGGATAGCTGTGGTATTGGTCAGATGGGGTTTTATTTTAACATTCTAATGTGAAAAAGTTTCATTCCTTTTTTTTTTATTTTTTAGTATTTGTTTCAAAATTGATTTGGAATTAAATATTAGAAACTGTTGGCAGAATGATAACTTTAGTTTTTTTTTTTTCCTTTCTCATTTTCTCTTAATCAGAAAAAGAATAAACCAAAGGAACCACCAAAAATACCCAAATCAGCACCATTTTTTATTCCAACAATTCCTGGCCTTGTACCCAGATATGCTGCACCTGAACAAAACAATGATCCCCAGCAGGTAAAATCCAAATTGGAACATTCTAAGTATATGGGTGTATGTTTTGTGTAGTTCTTTACCGAGACCTAGTTTTACAGAGATATAGAGTACATTAATGATAGCTTTTAATTATAAACTGTACATTTTGGGATGATACTAGTGTTTCTTTGAATAACGTGTATTTGTTTTTGTTTAAGTCTAAAGTGGTAAATCTTGGAATTTTGGCTCAAAAATCAGATTTCTGCTTGAAACTTGAAGAAGGACTGATTAATAATAAATGTAAGTTGAATTATAAAATATTTTAACAAATGTCTTCAGCTTGTTTTACTTTATATGAGGAAAAATTAAAGGAAATACCAGATTTTTCAGTAGCTAAAAGAGGAGAGTAAAAATTGAAAGGTTTAAAATTTTGGTTCTAATACAAAATAATTTATTTTTATATTAAATGAATTTGTGTACTAAACTCATAATGTTGATATTATAAAAATCTGTTAAATTTTTCACACTTAACGTAAAATTAGATTTTTTTTGCTGTTTGGAACGGACACTTTTATTGACAACATTTATAATAAGGAGATCCTTCTTGCTGTGAATTAAATGTAAAAGTTATGTCATCTTTATAGCAGATAATTTGCAAGCCTTTTGTTTTTATTTACCAATGCAATTTGTAATACAACAGAGATTTGTCTTAGATAATTTCATGTATTCTCACCATAAAAATGAAATTTTTAAATTTATTTGTTGAGTGTGTTAATATATTTTAATCTTGAAGGCTGTAGTTTATAGCTAATAATGATGAACCATAAGAACTGTAAACATTTAAAAAATCAAACTTTCCTGAGAAATTTGATTTACTCTCTTGTTTTATTTTATTTATTTATTTTTTTTTTGAGACAGAGTCTCACTCTTTTGTCCGGGCTAGAGTGAGTGCCGTGGCGTCAGCCTAGCTCACAGCAACCTCAAACTCCTGGGCTCGAGCGATCCTCCTGCCTCAGCCTCCCGAGTAGCTGGGACTACAGGCATGCGCCACCATGCCTGGCTAATTTTTTCTATATATTTTTAGTTGTCCAATTAATTTCTTTCTATTTTTAGTAGAGACGGGGTCTCGCTCTTGCTCAGGCTGGTCTCGAACTCCTGAGCTCAAGCAATCCGCCCGCCTCGGCCTCCTAGAGAGCTAGGATTACAGGCGTGAGCCACCGCGCCCGGCCTACCCTCTTGTTTTATGATCCAAACACTTTTGTTTTCATACCAATATCACTTGAGTCCACATTGGCAAATGTCAAAGAGTAGTACTGATAGGTCCTTTTAAATGACTTGTTATGCTTATGGGGAGACAAAGAAGGAAAAAACACCATCGTTTAATATACACTGAAGGGCATAAAATTGATTAGACCTTTGTTGTTGATGGCGTTCTTTTTCAGAATGCTATAAGCATAGTCATTACAATTGTAATTGCATATTATAAAAATGGTTATAACTGTATTCAGTATATTTTCATAGGATGCATGTGAAACAATAGTGCTTTTAGGGAAAAGTAGAAGATTTGGGCTGGGTAAGAATATGGGATAGATTCTTTCTCCTCTTATTTCATGTATTTCTGTGTTGTTAGCTTTCTTAATGATTAGGTACTTCTGTAATTTTATAGCAGTAAAAAAGCAAGAAAGAAAAATAAATTCCCCTACATCATCCTATTCCCAGTGCTAACCACTATTGATAGTTTGGTATGTTCCTTTATAGCCTTCATATATTAGGATTTATTCTGAGTGATTTATGAGCATTTTAAAGTATCTGTTGTCAGGCATTAGATTAACAGCAGGAAAAAGGCTTGAATTACCGAAAAATGCAAAAAAAAATAGGGCTTTTATTAAGTTATTAAGTATGGAATGTCCGATTTCCTTAAGTAGTACTACGTTTGACAGTTCATATCTCTTACATTTCACTTACACGCTTTTTTTTATTGTGAGGGTATGTCCTCATTCTTTCAAATGCACATTTTGCTTTGTGATTAACTTTCAAATATTTTTTTAGAGCAATTTTTGTGAAACCATGGATAAGTAAAAGATTCGTGCTATTTTTTAATATGAGTTCCATCGTGAAACCAATGTAGCTCAGACAGCTCGAAATATAAACAAAGTGGGAAGGATGTGTCTAATGAACATGTAGTATGTCGATGGTTTAAGAAGTTCCATTCTGGTGATTTTATCTTGAAAATGAGCCATGTGGGTGACCTGAGACCAAGGTGGATAATGATGAACTGAAAGCTGTAGTGGAAGCGAATCCATCTCAACCTACACGTGAATTAGCAGCAAAGTTTGAGCCTACTATTCCAAGAAGGTTGGACCGTTTGAGGAAAGTAGGCAAGGTAAAGCAGCTGGATAGATGGGTGCTGTGTGAATTAAACGAGCATCAGAAGAGACATCATCTCAAAGCTTGCCTTTCTTTGTTGTCATGACACACAGGCCATTTCTACACCATATTGTTACATGTGATGAAAAATGGATTCTTTTTGACACTTGCAAGTGTTTGGCACAATGAATAAAGATAAAGTGCCTAAACACAGTCCAAAACCAAATATTCATCAAAAAAAGCTAATGGTGTCTGTTTGGTGGTCTAGCACTGGTGTTATCTACTACAGCTTCATGAAATCTGGTCAGTCAGTTATAGCAGATGGTCTACTGCAACCAACTGAATGAAGTGATGAAGATGCTTGCAATTAAGCAGCGAAGACTGGTCAATAGAGACAGGCCAATCCTGTTGCAAAACTACATGTGGCAAAAAAACAAAGCTGCTCAAACTACAGAGCTGGACTTGGAAGCTGTCATCCACCATATTCAGCAGACCTTGCACCAACTGACTACCACTTGTTCCAGGCTTTGAACCACTTGTTGCAAGGAAAAATATTCAGTTCTCAACAAGCCACAGAAAACGCCTTTCACAATTTCATTGCCACTTTCCAGGCTTCTTCGCTGGTGATATAAGCAAGCTACAGTTAAGATGGCAAAACTGTGTGGATAGTTTAGACACATGGTTTGCTTAACTATACTGCTTCTTGTTTGAAATATAATAAACTTTTGATTCAAAATTGGACATTTCATATTTAATGACCTAATAGTATTTTTTATTGTATTACTCTCTTCATTTATACTGATTTTCAATTATTTTGGATTTCATTCTACCATGTAACATAAAAAAACCCACAGAAAGAATTTCCTGTGCCATTTAACATATTGACTGCCACACCAGAAAAAAAATTTTTCTTTGGGGCTATGGTGTTTTATTATGAAAATAGAATACAAACTTCAAAAACAAAATGATCCTTTGTAATTTAATGAAAAATTTATTTTTTGTTGTTTTCTGTACATGAGTTATATGCAACTTGAAAAATAGTTTTGTGGCTCCCAAGATGGAGAGGCGTTTAGTTACATACGATTCATGAGGCTTCGGGCTCAAGCATGAGTTTAATACAACTCATATAGCAGTTAATGTGTTAAATATATCTTGTTTGGGATACGAAAGGAAATCTATAGTTTCTGAAGTGATGTGATTGTAATGACTTCATAACTGGTTTTTTAAAAAAACTTAATGCAGATGATGCTGCTCTCAACCTACTGAAAGAATTAGGCCCATCAGGAATTGAAACAGAACTGCGAAGCTTGTCTCCTGATTGTGGCGGTTCTATAGAAGTCATGCAGAGCTTCCTGAAAATGATTGGGATGATGTTGGATAGAAAGCGTGATTTCGAGTTAGCCCAGGCATACCTTGCGTTGTTTCTAAAGGTAAGTCTAATGTAAGACAATACTTTCAGCTGTCCTTTCTCTATAGCAGTGTTGTCTAATAGAACTTTCTGCAAACATGGGAATGTTCTGTATCCACACTGTTCAATATAGTAGCCACTTGCTACATGTGGCTATTGAATACTTGAAATGTGGCTTATGTGATTGAGAAACTGAATTTTTAATTTTATAGAATTTTAATTAATTTAAATGTAAGTAGCTATATATGGCTAGTGACTACCACATTGAACAGCTGGATAGCAGTTTGTTAGTAGTTTTTTTGTTTTGATTTTTTTTTTTTACTCAACTGCACAACAATTTTGACTCTACCCCCTGACTTTTTTTTTTTTTTTTTGAGACAGAATCTCACTCTTTTGCCCGGGCTAGAGTGCCATGGCATCAGCCTAGCTCACAGCAACCTCAAACTCCTGGACTCAAGTGATCCTACTGCCTCACCTTCCCTAGTAGCTGGGACTACAGGCATACGCCACCATGCCCGCTAATTTTTTCTATATATTTTTAGTTGTCCAATTAATTTCTTTCTAATTTTAGTAGAGATGGGGTCTCGCTCTTGCTAAGGCTGGTCTCGAACTCCTGAGCTCAAGCAATCCGCCTGCCTCGGCCTTCCAGAGTGCTAAGAATACAGGCGTGAGCCACCATGCCCGGCACCCCCTGACTTTTTTGTGTAGTCCACTTGACCCAATATGCTGAACCATTGACTTTTTTTTTTAAGTAGTTACATTTTGGAAGTTTTTCTGTGATCATGAAGAAAAGGTCAGGTTTTGTGTTTGTTTTTTCTACTGTTGAAACAAAATATTTACCTCTATCATGGGTAAAGGAATTTTAACTGATTTCGCAACAACAGAGTTGCTTTATGGAGAACTCATGTTTTGAGGGTCTGCTTTAGTGGTACAGTGTATTGAGGGGGTAGATAATGCAGATTTTCAGTGATAACGGATATGATTCTTTATCCCATTCATATATAAAATGAGTTTTTACTTGATCTAATTATTAAAAAGTTATTTAAAAGTTATATATCTAGATAGTAGCATGTAGGATTAAGAAATAGAAATATCACAAATTATCTGTCTTTTCTCAAATTTACCAATTTTAGTCCCTGAATATGAATTTACTTAAATTTTGGAAAATAAAGCAAAGGACCCATCTGCCATTCATTAGCAATGGATTATGTTGAAAGGAGAAACTTAGAGAAGCACAGAAATGTGGATTTAGTGTTCAGTCAAGGACTTTGTTTCTGGATCTGTATTAGGACTGTCCTTAGGTGGAAGAAAGTGATAACTACAACTACTTCAGTTCTACTAAGGGAATGATAGTACCATAATGGGGCTCGTGATAAAAAAAAGTTTGATTTAGGAGAAGGAAATGGAAGATAGTAATAAACCAGCACTTAAGAAAAAAAATTAGTATCTTCTTAGTATACTAAGTAGAAAATTTGAATCCAGAGTAGATAAAATTTTAATTTTCTTAAATATTCAACCATCATGTTTTTCTTCTCAGTTACACCTCAAAATGCTTCCTTCAGAGCCAATACTCTTAGAAGAAATGACAAAGTTGTCATCACAGGTGGAAGAAAACTGGATTCATTTACAATCACTCTTCAATCAAAGCATGTGTGTTTTAAATTATATCAAAAGTGCTTTATTATAAAAAACTTCTGACTAAAAGACATATATTAAATAGGTTTAATTTAACTCATTTCTTATTTTCCAAACTTCAGTGTGTAAAGAAAATAAATGCTAGTGCTACTGACTAGTCAATAATTCCACTTTAAATGCTAAATACTTTTTTGAAATAAAATTGCAGCTGTGTTTTGTTTTGAAGACCTAAAGAATCTACTCAAATGATTTATTTTCTGAGTCTCTGAGCTACTTTTATATGACTCTTTTTTAATTATTAGCTGCTCATGTGTTTTGAGTTATCTATAACATATAAGAGGTGCTACATGTTCCTTGTGAAGTATTGCCGATTTAAATTGAAGATGTCAGGTAAAACTGATATATGATATAGTTATAAAAATGCTGTTAGGATACAAAAAAAAGAGAATGTTTCTTTCCTTGGTGTCCTTTGATGAAAATATTAATCATTTGGCTTTTAAACCTGGAACGTATACTAGACATCTTCTAGTACAGCCCTCTTGTGTTGCAGAAGAGAAATCAGATTAAGGTCTGCTGGGAGCTCAGTGACAGAGCCAGATTTTTCAGTGTTGGCCTGGTGCTTTCTCCATTGTAGTCTTCCTAAAGGAAGTTGTTACCGGATCAGAAATGTGGTAATCACTTGCCCAAGACAAACTGCTATAGGAGAAGGTTAAACTGATACCTAAAATAGGTAAGGGAAATTCCAACTTCCGTGGAAGTTGTCCTTCAAAGGTTTTTTCCTTCCTCACTGATGACCTTTTTATTTGGGAAGAAACTGTTGACTATACTTTTCTTTCACAACCATTGCAAAACCAACTAGCTCTGGCAGTTTTCTCTTTGCTCATCATCAGTGTTTTGTTTTTATGATTCAAGGCTTTAGCAATATATGAATTAAAAATAAGCAGTTCTTAAAAGGAAAAGTGCTCTAAAAACTATTCTTAGTTTATACACAAAAAAGTGTTATTCATGAAATGCAGCTTGTTGAATTTGAACACCAATAACATTATTGTTCATCATTAGGATAAGAGGATTTAACAGGGCAATCTCCAGAAGGAGCAGTCCTTAAAAGGAGTTGGCCAATGATACCTTCAATGTTAAAGTGTTTTCATTTAATGGTGTAAGGTAGAATTAGTATACTACTAAGGAAATAAACCAGTCTGGTTTTGTACTCAATTTTGTTTTTCTTTTGGAAATATGTATTGACTTATTAAAGCCACTGACTGAAATGTTAATATTGACTTAAGTTCTAATTTCGAAAACTGTATTTTTCTCTGTCCCAAATGCTATATACTAAAGATAAGACAAAATTCTAATAGACAATCCAGTAGCTAGTAAAGACTGTCAAATGACTAAAGCAACATGATAAGACCTGTGAACTGAAATTGTGTTGCTTATACAAATCATGAACTAAATTTTCTTCTCTTTTAAATGAGCATGTAGGAGTTGAGTGTATTGTTTTTATTGGCTATATCTTTAGATAGTATTACAGCATCATTTTGACAGGTAATCTTTCGGAACCTTGCCTGTGCATTTGCCATCAAAGCAGGGAAAGAGAAAGAAATACAAATTAAATTTTGTTTGTATATGTTTTCCTTAAAATATATAAGTCTGTGCATATTGTTTTATCTTTAAATTTTAAATTATGCATGTAATATATGACTACATTTTACTTGTAAAAAACATCAGTGTTTTTTGACAACCATTTTCAATCCCAGTACCCTCCTTAAAATAATAGTTGTTAATTCTCCTTCCAGGGCTTTTTTATGAGTATTTATACATATTATATATAGCCACAGGAAATAAAACGTATAGTTTTATTTTTACATATATACATATGTATCATTCTGAAATTTGGTTTTTTTTACTCAGGTTTTTTTATTTGGGTACATTCACACTTACCAAATCTCTTTACTTTTGCATAGTATCTCCAACAATCTATTTTTCCTATAATGGACCCTTAAGGAAGTTTTCCTCCTTTTTTTTCTTTCTCATTTCAAACAATGCTGAGAGGAATATCATTCTGTATAAGTATTTAATGTGCATATAAGGATTTTTCTGTAGCATATGCTTAGGATTTGAATTTTGGGCCAGAGTATGAGCATTTTTAATTTAAAGAGATACTTCCAGTTGGCTTCCAAAATGGCTGTATCAATTTATATCTCCCCTCAACAACGAATGAGTACCTGCTTCCCCGTATGATTAAGGACACTTGATGTTAGATTTTTACAATTTTTATTAATCTAATGGGTAACAAAATGTATTCAGAAATTTCTCACTGGTGAGGATGGACATTTTTTTATATATTTGTTTTAGGCCATATTTATGAATTGTCTTTTCCCTCCACTGCTCATTTTTCTATTGAATGATTTGTCTTTTTATCATGTGGATTTGTTAGGAGTTTTCTTATTAATAGATATTAATCTTTTATGTCTAAAACCAATGTTTTCTCCCAATTAGCCACTTTAGTTTTACTTACAGTATCTTTTTTTATAGATGTTTTATGTTTGTATATTGTCAAATTGATAATTTTTCATGACTTATATTTCAAGTATAAAGCAAATTCTCTATTTTCTAAGACATCATGTATGTTTTCATGTGTTTACATGTGCTCATTTCACATTTATCATGCATATTTTCTTGGACTTGTCTGTGAGTGGTTAATGTCTAGATCTCTGGAACTGGTATTTATGAAGAGTGAATGGTATAAAGTTGCCTTTATTCAAATGTCTACTCAAAAATCATTGTAAAGTCCATTCTTTATGTCTCTGATTTGAAATGCTTCATTATGTGATATATTTTCATTGAGCTTTTTGATATTCCTAATAAATAATACACTGATTATAGTTCGGTATGTTTTCAGATTTGAGATAAAGCCTTCCTAATGTTTTACAGAAATTTCTGGCTACTGGTGAGCATATCTTCTTGAAGTTTTGATTTGGGTTGTACTAAATTTATTGGATACATTTGGGGAGAAATAAAATACTGAGTACACTTGTCCCTTGAAATCCAATTCCAGGACCTCTGTAGATACCAAAATCCAAGCATCCTCAAGTCCTACAGGGTGGACCTGCCTATACAAACAGTCATCCCCCACCCCCACCTTTGGTATTTGAGGGTTTCACATCTTTGGAATACTGTGTTTTTTTTTTTATTTGTATCTGGTTGGAAAAATCTGCATATAAGTGGACCTGCACAGTTCAAACCCATGTTGTTCAAGGGTCAACTGTATTTCTCTTTGAGAACAATGTATGTCTTGATTAAATCAGATCGTCTGTGGGCAAGCTTCTCTTGGTTTCATAGATTTTTTAATACAATCGTACACTTTTTGACTTGTTTCTGGGGACTTTTGTTGCTATAGTGACATCTCTTTTTCTAATACATTTAAAAATTGGTAATTGCTGCTTGTGGTAAAAACAATTTGCTTTTTATATTCTGATCTATCATGACACGACAAAACTCTGATTTTTAAGTTTGTCAACATACTCTTCCTGGAAAATCCCAAGAGAATTCCGTCTTTTGCAATTGATGAGACTTTATTTTCTATCCAATATTCATACTTCATTTAATTTTAGTTGGGATTGCTTTAGCTATGATCTGACACAAAATGTTGGGCATGAACAGTGCTTAGCAGAAATTTTTGTCTTGTTACCTCAGTGGAAATGGTCTTAGTAGTCTACCATTAAGCATGTATGCTGAGTTTCTGATACATACCATTTGTTAAATTCTATTTTACTAACTTGCTCCTTTTTAAAAATTTAAGATATAGGTAAGTATAGAATATTTTATGAAGTGATTTTTCAGCTTATATTGAAGGATCAAGATCTTTAACCAATGTAGTTTAATGATTTTTAATGAAAGATTTTTAATATTGAATTGTATTTCATTCTTAGGATAGGACTGTTAAATAAGATGAAACTGGTGCATTTGTTTCATGAAATGATCCTTGATGTTTTTTTAAAACTTGCCTAATCAAAGGGGAAAAAAATGTCTTGCCCAGAGTCTATTACATGATTTTTTTTCTATTTAATTTCTGCTATAACCACCAATTAGACTTAACTAATTGGATTTTCTGTCTCGTCTCAAACCAAATTATATTTTCCTTACTAATCATGAGTTTAATCTGGATTTTCATATGTTTTAGTGTAAGTTACATGAAGATGTATGCCTTTTTATTAATTGCTTGGTTGGAAGAGACAGAAGCCTAACTCAAACATAGGAGTGTCTGCAAAGTCCAGGAATAAAATTGGGTGTACCTACTGTTAGATCCACAGGTTCCTTGGTCAGTTTTTCCATTTTTTCCCTTTTTTCTCCATTTTTCCATTTCTCCATTTTCTCCGCTTTTCCCCACTTTTCCCTTTTTGCTCTTATTATTGGCTTGCTGCTCAATCAAGATCTCTCATTTACTGATCCAGCAGTTATTTATTGAGGACCTACTATGTCTGAGGATCTCTCATTAATAGTTCTGGGAATATATTAGGGGTCAAAACCTGAGGCAGTACAGCTGCCCGTAGTTTACATATTCCTCTCAAACAAATTTGAAAGTGATCCTCTTTTAACAAGTTCTAAAATAGAATCTCAATGAGCCCGCTTAAACGCTGAGCCTATTACTATGGCCAAAGGGACTGAGTATTTTGATCAGCAAGGCTTGCGTCACATGTTGATCCCTGAAAAGGGAATGGCAACAACTCTACAGAGAACTACATGGATTGAGAAAGGATAATAGGTACCCAACAAAATAGAGTGATTAGATGGTAGGGGGAGGCAGGCAAAAGGATCAAATATCTACTACACCTATGTCTAAAAGTATGATACTTCTTCCTGGAGAGTCAATTTTATATCTTATATGTTCTTTTTAAAAATAAAAGCACTGAGGGTAGAAAAATGTAGAGTGATTGAAATATATACTTTTTTGTATTAAGGAGTTTGTTAAAAATTTGGGGAATCCATTGTCTTATACTGAGCTGTGTTAGGTCGCAATAGACCAGACCAAACCAAAATGGAGTCACTCACGCTAAATGCCACATAATCACTGTAAGAAAGCAGATAGATCCCAAAAC